GTAGGCGATAATTGGACAAAGTGGTGGAAGAATCCGGAAGAAGTTGAGCTATTCAACTTTATTGGAAAGGTATGTGCTTCAGCTTTTGGGTTATCTCAAAATCAATTAGAATGGACTTTTTAGGATAATGTTGCTTTTCACGGTGTAATGTTTCCTTGTACCCAACTCGGTGCTCGTGATAACTATACAATTGTCAATCATGTATGTGCAACGGAATATTTGAACTATGAGGATACCAAATTCAGGTTTGCCTTCGCTTGATCATGTTTTGAACTGCTCCAACCGTTTATTTTCGTATCTGGTCCTTGGCTTGGTTAAGGCAGAGCTTTGTTCTCTGGTAATAGCCAATCTTCTGGTGTTTCACTTTCATACTGAGTACTCCAGAGCCACGACATTTAAGGCAATATTTCGAAGTGTTTTCCATATTTTAGCAAATCGAGAAATACTGGTGTCTTTGGTGATAATGCACAAGAAACGGGCATTGAAGCTGATGTATGGCGATTTTATTTGCTCTATATGCGGCCTGAGTCTCAAGACACGTCGTTCTGCTGGGAGGATTTCGCTCTTAAGGTATTGGTGGAAGGGTAGTTTTCAGTGAGACGAACGAATAGAAATGGTTCCACATTCATGGCGCCGCTTTACGCAATATCCTGTTGATTTGTAGGTAAATTCGGAGTTGCTCGCCAATTTGGGAAATTTCATTAATCGAGCGCTTTCATTCCTCAGCAACGCCTTTGGAGGTGTGGTTCCAGAAATGTATCTTAACGATACCGACGTGGAGCTTTTAGCAGGAATCCAGGTACGAGAAACCGTCATTAATGTTCACTTTCAAGGAGTTATGTTTATCAAAATTAAGGAGGACTCAGTGGAGTGGGATCAGTTAATGGACGCCGTGCGCCAAAAGGATGCCGTAAGGGCGGTCCTTTCTATGTCGCGTCGTGGCAATCAGTATATGCAATCTCAGCAGCCGTGGGTGCTCATGAAAGGAGATGAAGAAGAGAAGTAAATCTAGAAAATTTTTATAAGTAGGTCTCCATAATTCTATTGATTTGGTTCATCTCCAGAAAACGCGCTGGTACTGTCATCGGAGTTGCGGCTAATATTTCATACCATCTTGCTACAGTTTTACATCCAATTATGCCAGAGGTACGAACGTAATCCCGTTGACAAGTAGCATAGGCGTGCCAATCTTTCCTTCAGGTCTCAGCTCGAATAAGGTCTCAATGTGCTCTGGAACGCTTGCCTGCCTTTTCTGCATACCCGTTATCATATCTCAAACCAGGGCATAAAATTGGGGTGGTAAGTGTTATTGGTTGATTCTACCAATTTATCATTTAGGGTGACCTTTTGCTCCAAAAGCGATCTCCAGCATGTTTCAGCCAAAACCACTGTTCACGAAAATGGAGAGTGCTAAGGTGGCTGAATGGAAAGCGAAGTTTGGTGGCTCAAAGGCCGTTGAGGAGACGCAGAAGAAGCGGAAAAGGTAAATTATGTAAAAATTTGTTGATATGAATTATTTGTTATATTATATTTATATAGAATTTTGCATTTATTTTTGATGCATTTGCACCTATCTTTCCTCTGCTTTACCTATCCTACTGTTCATTGGTGGTTCCGAAAGTACCGAAAATCAAACTAATTACTTGCTTGTTGTAAGGTAAGTCTTGTTCCTGTGTACTGCCATCCTACAAAAAATGTTCAGGGAAAGCGTGAGCAATGGTTACGCTTGGAACACAAAAACTGAGTAGGAGTAGTGGTCACGGCTTTGATTCTTTGAGCCGAGTTTTTTGCCATTCGAGGGCTAAATTCTTGTTTGTACTCATCGTCAAAATTTGACCCCAGTAAATGAGTGGTAGGGCTCGCGTGTTCGCTGGCTGTGAATTTGGAAAATTACTGACCGGGCATTCTTTCTCGTCTTCCAATTGTAAGGATTGTTATGTGAAAATAGTTGGACAGCTTCAGAATGCTGTCTTTTAGGTTCGTGGCGTGATGTGGCAAAGCTTTCTGGGACGTAAGACGCGGAGGCTACGACTTTACCACCTTTTTTTATCATTTGCACATTTTCTTATTCCTACCTCACATTTCAAGCTTTTCAGACCAAGATTTAGAACACAGAGTCATGAAGTCTCTTGGATGAGCTATAAGTAGAAGTGATTATTTTCCGAAGTTCACTCCTTTTCACAGCTCTTGTTACTTTGTTTCATCCTTTTTAACCAGTTCTGCTAAATAGTTCACTCTCTAACACAGCGTCATGTTTTTATATGCAGTGTGACAGATATCGTTGATCCATACCGGTAACCGCCACAACGCCTCTCATAGCTCATTTTCCAGATAAGCCTAAGCAAGGTCCGAAAGCTGACGCCAGGTGATAAAGATTTGAAAAAATCAGAAAACGCAAAATCAAAGATGGCATCGGCCGGAGTTTTCGCATATCCTCATCTAGCCAGGAATCAACAGCAGATCAAGCAACTTCTGGATGCTTCATACAAGAAATTCGCTCAAGCACGTGAGTGTGTTCTGGCAGATCATATCATTACTTACAATTTCAGTGTGATAATATGGGTTCTGTAAAAATCTGTGTTATTAGAAAACATTTCCAGGCGACTTGTTTGTAAAGCAAAAAGGAGCTGAGCTGGCAGCTAACATTTCGAAACTTGAAAAGGAAGTGGAAGCAGTCAAACGTCAATTGGTCGAAGCTGAAACAGCGGCAGGAAGTGCGTAGGACTCTGATCATAGGCTTCCCTTTCATTGGAATTCAAATTCTGTCCACAGCATTCAATTGTTTAAAAAAACCTATGTTTAGTCAAGCAAGTTGCGGTCCCACAGATCGCAAAGGCTGTGGAGAAAACTGAGTCTGTCACAGTTGCTCCTGTGACGACCCCAAAAAGCGAAACTTCTGAAAAGCCGTCCAAAAAGGAAAAATCCGCGGGAGAAAAGAAGCAAGCCGTTGCTAGTGGTAGCAAGAAAAATGAGAGTGAGTATTAAATTCGGCACTGCAGTTGTATTTGCTGTATTCCAAACTAACGATCTACTCTTTAGATCTCAGAAGAGCTGGCCGGAATACCCTTATGCAATGAGCTTTTTTCAGATGCAGCTGCTGATGATCAGGTTGACGTGGGACGCCTCGACCTTCGAGTTGGTCGTATTTTGCAATGCGAAAAACATCCAGATGCAGACGCGTTATACGTCGAGCAGATTGACGTTGGGGAACCGGCGCCACGGACAGTCGTATCGGGGCTCGTTCGGCATGTCCCGCTTAACGAGGCTAGTTGCTCTCTCCCAATTTGTTCTGGTGTCTTTGGTCCACATGCCAGCACTTCCAAAATTTTTGAGTCTCCTTGAGTCTTCAAGAAACTCCTTTAATGGGTGGTCAGGTTCTCTGTTAGACGATTGTAAGCTTAAGGTTCCCCAAAAAATGTCCTAGGTTTTTCTATTCACCACCGTGTTTAGATGCAAAACCGTCTTGTGGTGGTGTTGTGTAACCTGAAGCCGGCGAAAATGCGTGGAA